TGATAATAGCAAGCATTAGTGGTGATGTGGATCAAAAGGGAACACTCATACATTGCGTTGTGGGAAGGTACATTAGTGGAATTGTTTTTTGTAAAACAATACACCTGTATTCAGTATGGCTGAATATGCACACACCCTCGGACCTAGTTATTCCACTCTTCGGTATATAATCTAGAGAAATACTTGCAAGGGTGCCCATGGGCCACTACAAAGGTGTTCACTGTTTGTATTAGCAGAAAGTTGCAAATAAACTCAAAGACCCTCAACAATAGATAACTAATGCTGGCCTATTTACACGGGGAGTAGCGGAGGTAAAATAAATTAATCAACATGAGTAGATTGCACAAATGCTGGGTGAAAAAAAGCAGGCTTCAGGGGCACCTGGGTGGCTCAGTCAGTTAAAGCGTCTGCCTTCGGCTAAGGTCATGATCCCAGGGTCCTGGGATGGAGCCCCACATCGAGCCACCCATCGGGCTCCCTACTCTGTGGGCAGCCTGTTTCTCCCTCTCCCTCTGCCTGCAGGTCCCTGCTTATGCTCTCTGTCAAATAAACAAATAAATAAAATATTTAAAGAAAAGAAAAGCAGGCTTCAGAATGTGTCCAGGATGATATTTCTAGAAAATATAGAAATATACAACTTTGTACTATAAATTGTTTATATATAGCATATCTGATATTTTACATGTACAGTAAAATTTAAAAACATAGCTAGAAAGAGTACACATTAACTTCAGGCTAGTGGTTGTCTCTAGAGAGGGAGAAAGGATAGGATTGTGTGTCAGGAGAGAGGACTTAAAATGTGTATTTTTTTTCTTAAAAAATTAATTCAGATTAGAAAAACTGTCAAGGGGCGCCTGGGTGGCTCAGTCATTAAGTGTCTGCCTTCGGCTCAGGTCATGATCCCAGGGTCCTGGGATTGAGCCCCGCATCGGGCTCCCTGCTCTGCGGGAAGCCTGCTTCTCCCTCTCCCACTCCCCCTGCTTGTGTTTCCTCTTTCACTGTGTCTCTGTCATATAAATAAATAAAATCTTTAAAAAAAAAAAAGAAAAAGTGTCAAAATTTGCTAATTCTGCGTGCAATACACGGTATTTATTGTGGCATTCTAAATTTCTGTTGAAGTATTTTATGATAAAAATAAAAGAGCCCTATAATACCCCCTGCCCAGAGTAAACCATTGTTAATAAGCAGATATGTATTTCTTCAGATTTATTTTCTTTGTGTTTAGTAATTAGGGTTCCTGGTTGCAAACAAGAAAGGTCATTTCTGGCAGAACTTAAGAGGAAAAATAATTTCGTGGATGGAATACAAACAGCTCACAGAATTGGTAGGAAGTATGGGAAATCACACTTGAAAAAGAGGCAGGACCAATAGGTGGGCCAGACCAAGTGACATGAACTAAGGAATTCTCATTCCTACCGGGCTCTGCTCTTATGCTGCACTCTTCCTGAAGGGGGGAAGCTTTGGGTCAGAACTTCCCGCCGGCTGAGCCCATGATGTCACCTGTCTCTGAACTGGCTGCCAAAGAGTTAGGAGAGGAAGCATTTGCCCCTTTTAAGACCCGAGCAAAGGCAGAACAACTCCCAGCCCCTTGCCTGTTTTGGGATTCTCCTCAAATAAAAGGATATCACACATGTCCCCCAGAATGAATACATTTCCCTCTTTTTTCCATATATACTCAGCCCCACTTCTCCCTACCTCTCTGTCTCTAACACACACACACACACACACACACACACTTAAACTATAATAGGCTCATACCATGCATACTATTGGGCAAGTTGCATTTTACACTTAATTTATCTTGGACATCTTTCCTTGTTCTTCCCCTATAGATCTTTTTTTTTTTTTTAAAGATTTTATTTATTTATTTGACAGAGAGAGAGAGAGCACAGAGATTTTATTTATTTATTTGACAGAGAGAGAGAGAGAAGCAGGCTCTCCACTGAGCAGGGAGCCCAATGCAGGGCTTGATCCCAGGACCCCAGGATCATGACCTGAGCTGAAGGCAGACGCTTAACTGACTGAGCCACCCAGGCGCCCCTTCCCCTATAGATCTATCTCATTTTTCTTAAGGGTTATGCAGTATTTTGTTGTACAAAAGGACTATAATTTTAAAAATAATTTACTGGGATGAAATTCACATAACATAAACCATTTTGAAGTGGACAATCCAGTGGTAGTTAGTACATTCACACTGTCTACAACCACCACCTCTGTCTAGTTCCAGAACATTGCTGGACTACAACCGTTTTTAAACCAATTTCTTACCAATGGTCAGTTGGGTTTCCTCTGGTATTTGGGCTATGACACACAATACCATAGTGAATCCCATAGTACATACTTTTTTGGAAACTTGAGTAAGTGATTCAAGTTTTCGAGGCCCAAAGATTACCCTCATTAAAAATCATAATGGGTACTATAAAACCTCTTTCAAAAAGGCTGTAAAATTTATTCTTCTGACAATAGTAATTGAGAGCCATTTGTTATTCTCACCCTACTATTATCCCTATGTGTAGCTTTACCAGTCTGAGAAAAAAGAGTCATTGTTAAAAAAGGGATTTTTGTTTGTTTGTTTTTAGCATTTTGAGCTAGTAGCCATTTATATTTCTTTATCTATTTCAGGGGTCAGCAAATATTTTCTATAAAGGGCCAGACAGTAAATATTTTAGGCCTTAGGGACCACAGTTACTCAAGTATGCTACTGTAGGGTAAAAGCAGCCATGGCAATCTATCAACAAATGCACATGGCTGGGCTCCAAAAAAACTTCATTTAAAATCCCAGCAGAGGGCCAGATTTGGCCAACAGGCTATAGACTGCAGACCCTTGATCTATTGTTTCATTGTTGCTGTTTTCAGTTTAGAAACTCTTTGCATGATAGGATAATCATGGGCTTATGGACTCCAGTCAATTGATAAATGCGGCTATTCTTGCGCTAATACCAAATTCTTAATAACTATAGCTTTATAAAATGTTTTCATAATCAGTACAACTATATTTGGTTTGCTTAAATAATAAATTCCTGTCAAAATACAATACCTAGAATAGTCAAGTGCCATTACACATTTACACCCTCAAGTTAAAAATCACAAAACTGTAATGTAACTCTGCAAGGAGTTCTAGTGTCAAAATGAGAAAAAGGGGCTTTGCATTGGCTTCTAATCTGTTTCCATGTGAAAGCTATACTCGGTCATGGCCATGGGAGGTACTGGAATATAAGGGACCGTGTATTTACTCTTAGAGCTCGACAGAACAGCATGAACTCAGTCCCAGAGCTGTGTGTGTGAAGCTCTGCACTGGTCACTGGTGTGACCCCCTGCACTCGGAGGTCACTCTCGCGCTTTACCAATGACCTTGTCACCGGCCGACTTCTCAGATGCACTAAGCACCCACTTTCTATCAGAAAGTATTAAACTAAAACGAAGAGTCGAGATCCAAGTCCCAGAATGGGCCTAAAACTTTAGTCTTTTGTTCTGCGTCTGCATTACTACAATGTTAAAACTTTCAGGCAACACAACGCGCTTAAAAAAAAAAAAAGTTTGCTTTTCTAAAATGTAACGCATTGCTTGTTTCCATCCTTCACACACAACATCAAAGAGCACTTCCCCCCCTTAATGTTCAAAATAACAGGCAGTCATAAAGAAGATGTGAGCTGAACCAGCAGGCATCCCCAGATCCGGAGCATCACTCCCCTCCAGCTCCCCCTGGCGTCCTTTCCGCCTTTTATCGGGGTCTGAAATCTTCACCATTACGAGTTCTTGGGTTAGGGCACAAGACCATCCCCTAAAGCGGCTGCTCACACCCACATTCGGTCCCCAGCCCTTTCTCATAGCACATCAGCTGGGATTCTAGGAGTTTCTTGGTCCCAGGGGCCGACCCGGACTTCGCAAAATCCCGCGGTTACCGAGGGGCAGGCAGCTTCAGGCGCTGCGCTGGGGCGTAGGGCCAAGGCAGAGCTAACCAGGGGGAGAAGGGTTACGGCCACCCTACTCATCCTCGCGCCCGGGGAGGAGGCCCTTGTCCCTTTTAGGTGCTGCGAAACCATCCTAGTCCCTGAGACTTGGAGCGAGGAAGTGACTCGCCAGGGCTTTGGGGCAGGAGGGAGCTCGGCCCCGGCCAGTATCCCGCGCAGCCTTCCAGGTGCACCCGGTGTCCCACGGTCCCTGTTTGCACTTCTCGTCCCCGGCGCTTGCGAACCGCCCAGCCCAGACACGCTCGAGGCCTCACCGTTGAAGCCGATCACGGCCTCAAGCTCCAGCTCGGCCACCTCGGCTTTGAGCGAAATTTGGTTCTCCATCCTCAGGAGACTGGGCTCTCCCGCCTCTGGGCCTCCAGCGGCGCAGCGTCTTCTGGTCGGTATGGTAACGGACGTGCGCATGCGCACCAGACCCACGCTCGCGCGGACTCCCGGCTGCCTCGCCCCGAGCTCCCTCTGCAAAAGGAATAGGGCTTCCTTTCTTTCCTATTTCCCTGGAAATTTAGGGGCGCTGAGTGCACGCTTTCCCTCCACGTCTGTGACTTTTTCTCCTAACCATAGAATCAAGCACCGAGTGTCATTTAAGGAAGGATGCTATAAGATAATATATAATGGCCACTTCTTTGGGTCCCTTGTTTGAAGTAGGATTGAAAAGAATTTTTAAGCTTTATTGAGCTATCACTTTACATATAAAATTCACTCTAAGGGAGTTTGGGTAAATTTATACAGTTGGGCAACTATGCCCACAGTCCAGTTTTGCTTTTGTTTTTTGTTTAAAGCACGATGAAATTTCAGGTAGCTGCTGGAGGTCTTGAGATGCTCCCACCTTCCCGGGAAAAAATGCTTAGATGTTAGTTCCAACCATTTTATTTTAATTGCGCCGGCTGTTCGCGTCCCTCGGTGGGAGCAGATTAGGTTAGATTGCTCCAACCTAATGTTCCCTGGGGGCCGCTTCCCTTTCTTGATCATCCTTTTGAGGTCCCCTGCACTCTCCGCTGGCAAACTCCGGGTTCCGGTCGCGCCCGGGCCGAAACGCGGGGTATGAGCCGCGCGGGCCGCCGTAGTCAGCTGCCGCGAGCAGGAAGTGTCCGACGGCGGGCGGAGACTGCACGATGGCCCCGGACCCCTGGTGAGCCCCGGGTGAGGGCGGCCGCGCCGAGGGTCCGCGGGGGAGGCCGGGCTTCCGGGGAGCCGGCGGTAGCCGGGCTCTGGGGCCGGGGAAGCCCTTCAGGATGAGGAGCGGGGCAGCGAGGCCCCTTCCCGCGCCCAGGGGGACCGCGCCGCGTCCCGCCGCCCTCGGTGCTCGCAGGGGTGGCCCGGGAGGGGGACCGGGTGGACTCCGGGGAGCCGGGGGCTAGTACCGAATCCCGGACACATGCCTTTAGCCCTTCTCGGCTGCACCTGGCCGCGGGGATATCCCGCCCGTCCTGGCTGCGGAGCTGGCTGGTGCGGGCTTCCTTGGACTCCCGGGAAAGTGAAGTTCAAGTCACCTTTTGGGGGAATTCCGGTCCATCTGGTGACCTCCCCTCTCTTACTTCCCAGGCGGAGAAACCGAGGTTCAGCACCCACGGTCACCCGCCAGTTAGTAAGCAGTTCGCACTAGGGTGTTGTGGGCCCTTCAAAAAACTTAGAGGAATCGGGGAGGGAAATTACGCATTTGTTTATAAGGCATTTAACCCTTACCTGAGTCAGTATCTTGAAGGCCGTTTCTACTGCAGCAACTCTGCAGTAAAAAAAAAAAAAAAGAGCTGATAAGGGTCGTTCCTTCAACAATTAAGTCTTAAGGACTGAATGATGAAAAGACACAAGGTCTGATCCTAAGGAACATATTACTACGGCATGTCGAACTGGAGTTTTTGTTTGTTTAATGATTAAAAGCATATTCTAGCTCTATAAAGTTCTTGTAATATTTCTGGTTTAATTTATAATTGTTTAAATTGTAGGCAGTGTGACTATTAGGAGAATGGGTTGCAGGATCAAAGTTAGCACTACTTTGGATCTAGGTTACCTGCGCCAGTGGCTCACTTGATTTAACTCTAATTTTTTTCCACCTAATTTTAACACTTGTATACACTCTGATAGAAAATTTAGAAAATACTGAATATTTGCAGAGAAAAAAAAAAAACCCACATCTTCAACTCTATCATTTGGAATAATAGCCGTTATTGATTTTAAAATGAAAACATGAGTTTATATAATATGCATATATACATGTATGTATACACATATATATATTATATGTACAAGTATCTCCGCTTCTTAAGACTTCACATTATGCCTCTTTGCTTTTATTGAAAGACTTACCTTAGTACCTGTTTTTGCTAACCAAAAGAAATCAGAAGAGGATTTTTGCTTTTGAAAAAAATGGGGAAAGCAAAAATAGCATTCAGCGTTTGTTTTGCAGCAAGCTGTCATAGAGACATTGTACCCCCAGTCAGCGAGAGTGACCCCTGCCCCAAGCTCCTTCCCTGGGAATTACACTCAGCATCTCAGCATCAAGCTGTCATAGCTTTGTCTGTGAGCATCTGGGCTTTATCTTGGTTTATTTTGTGTATCTGTTAGCAAGATGGGCCCTAAGGTATCAGAAAAGCCCAAGAGAGGTTATTTTTTGGGGTCTAGGAAAGCTCAAAAAATTTTCCATATATATTTATGGTAATTGGCCCCTTTGCTTTACTCCATTTTGGCTTAGGAGAGTTTTTTTTTTTTTTTTTAAGACTTTATTTATTTGCGAGAGAGAGAATGAGAGACAGAGAGCATGAGAGGGAGGAGGTCAGAGGGAGAAGCAGACTCCCCACTGAGCAGGGAGCCCGACGTGGGACTGGATCCCTGGACTCCAGGATCATGACCTGAGCCGAAGGCAGTCGCTTAACCAACTGAGCCACCCAGGCGCCCAGCTTAGGAGAGGTTTTATAGGAAGACTATTTTTGGATAGTGAGGGAAACCTGCATGTTTTACAAAGCAAGGAACATTTCTCCATGTCATTAAATATTTACTGAAAACATGGTTTTTTTATGGTGCGTAATAGTGCATTGTATGAATAACCGTAATTTATTTACTTATTTCCCTCTTTGTAATGTCAGAGTTTGTTTTTGTTTAACTATTGCAAAGACTGCCCCTTTGTTCCATTCCTTATTTCGTCCACTTGCTTTCTGGAAGTGGGACTGTTAGATTGAAGGATATGAACATTTTTAAGGCCCTTGATACGTATTGCTAAATTGCCGTCCACCTCCTGGGAGCTAACCCCCTCACTTTACACATAAGGTGGGAAATAAAGCTCAGAGACGGTTATCCATTTAGATTGGTGGAAACGATCATTGGACCCCAAGCCTCTTCCCCAGTTCATGCTGAGAGCACATCATGTTTCCTGTTACTCTCAAGTAGTTTGACCCAACGGCTTTCTCATCTGACTGTTGATGGTGAAACAGTGAGGGAACTCCGCTGTGTTGGCATCAGGTACCTTGCAAAGTAGGTTGCTCATGAAGAGGGCGGAAGGGAGTATGGAACGGGACTTTGAAAAAAACCTATAAAAACAGACTTGATGACATACAGCTTTGCCTTTGTGCTCTTGAAAAATCATATGTCAATGATGCTTTACTCCTGAGTGATATAATGGAATATATTTTGGCTAATTGAACATAACAATAACAAAAATGGAATATAGCAATGACTGCTTTAATGGCATATCAAAGCAAGTGACAAGCTCACTTTTTAATAGAAGTAGCAAGTGATTACTGCCTCTTAACTGGTTCATTGCTAAAGTTAATTAACTTTACTGCTGGGGCAACGTATTTGTTGATGATACATCATTTCTGGAAAAATTACGGTTAAACAGACCCTAACAGTTTTATATTCTGGTTGGTCCTTTTTTGGATCTATTCTAAAAACTGTTACGGAAGGTAAAATATATACAAAGTGGACTAGTATAATGAACCCCTTTATACTCCTCACCCAGTTCCTGTAATTACCAATATTCTGCCATACTGGTACCATCTCTGCCCTCCACGTCTTTTTTCCCTGAGATTTTTTTTTTTTAAGTAAATCTCATACATGTATGAATTTAACTGTTGTGCATTCAGTGTTTTTGTGGTAGAACAGGGGCTCAGTTCATAGTCTGGGAACTTCCTCTTTGCTCCCCTTTGTGGCTTGTTGGTCTCTGCCGGGGCATCACCATCCTCTGAGTCACTTAGGCCTGAAAACTCCAATCATCCCCTTTTTCTTCACTCCTCCTATCAGATTATTAAGTCTTTGGTTTTTCTCTTAAATGCCTCTGGCATCTCTTTTATGCCATCTGTTAATGCTGTGGCCTCATCCTTTTAGCCCTGTGCCTCGCAGACACACAGTAGATCCTGGTGACCAGTTATAGAACTGGAGAGCTGGAGAAGCTTTCTGGTCTCGCGCCAACCCCCTCTCGTTCCCAGCCATTTGTGTAAACGAGTTCAGGTTCCTAAACTAGTGGTGTAGGCACTAATGTGCTTGATAACCGTGATGAGGCTGCCCATGACCTCTAGGCCCATGGTTCTCAAACTTGGGTATGCGTCGGAAGACCTGGGGGAGTTTTCACAAGCCCTCGCGTCCAGGTCAAACCCCATTCCAGTTTAAACAATGCGTGGGGCTGGGGCCCAGGACTTAGCTGCGATGTTGTTGTTTCAAGATTCCCCTGGTGATCCCAGTGCCAGCAAAGTTTTAGAACCACCGCTCTCCAGGGCTAACGTGGGAACGTGAGGAGTGGGAGCAAAACATCTGGGATTTTGGCCTTCTGCATTTCACAGAACCTCTTCAAGGGCTCACTCGATGTGTGAAAGGGTCCCCTACAGCTCTGAAGCCCTCTTTCAAAAGTCTCTCCTGATTATCCTGGTGTTCGAGGCTCTGCAGAAACTAGCTTCCACGCATCTGTACCCTCTGATGCCGTATCCTCCCACCCAGGCCCGCGCAGCCGAATGCACCAGGCATGTGTCCTTCCATTTCCTTCCTTTCACCCTTGCTTGCTCCTTGTGCCTTTTGCCAAGTCTAGGATGTGCCCCTCCCTCCTGCTTCAGCCTTGCGGTTCAGCCCAGGATGTACCCTCTTGGCCCAGCCCGGTCAAGTCTGAGTGTCCTCGGCCGCCAGTTATTCCTCTCACTTTCAGATTCGATGTTTTGCAGGAGCTATATCGTAACTTATTATTGATCTTCATTGGTATGGTCTGGGACTACAGAGCCAGACCTAAGCTCCTCTTTTCAGAGAGGACAGTATGGAGGGGAAAAGGGGAAATGTGGCAAAGAGGGGCCAGGACCCAGTTTCCTTACCAGCTTCACTCCTATTTTTTTTGGTCGGGGAGAGGGGCAGAGGGAGAGAGAGACTCTCAAGCAGGCTCCACGCTCAGTGCAGAGCCTGACCCGGGGCTCGATCTCACGACCCTGAGATCATGACCTGAGCTGAAATCAAGAGTCAGACGCTTAACTGACTGAGCCACCCAGGCGCCCCTTCCCTCCTATATTCTTAATTATGTGTTGTATCACCTGCTCTTTTTCTGTATATGTGAACATACACACACTTACACACGTATATATGCATGATGCTACTTTAGCATACAGAGGGGAGTTGTTAAAGATCCTACCTCATGGGATGTGACATTCAGAATGTAACACTCTTAGCCCGGGACCTGGCCCAGAACAGGTACTCAGCTGTTACCCATTGCTGCAATTACTGTAGTAAGATCGCCAGGGGAAGCAGTTGGAGATTGTTTTTCCCATCACTGAAAAACACATTTGCCAAGTTCCCTCAGTGTAGGAGTAACGTGTGGGAGTTCAAAGATTTTAAGAAATGGATCGTTTAGTTTTTTCAAGCAGAAATTGGGGCATTAGGTGAAGCAGCAGTTTTCAGTATTTGGTACTGGGACAGTCCTGGGAAATACGTTGGTCGTATCAAGCAGACTACCTGGTAGGAGAGATGCAGTGTGTGTGCACACTTAGCTCGTCTCTGTGAAACGAATAGAAAGTAAGACCATCACAAAAGGACAAAATAAGAGATGATTGTGAATTCACTGTGAATTTTTCAAAGCCTCCAACGCTTTGAATGCCAAATAGAAACTCAGCAAATGTTCTGAGAGAGTTCTTGTAAGCTTAGCTATCAGGAGGGTGTGTGTCCCAT